GTTTTGATCTAGTTACAGTTAGGGAAAAGTTTTGAGAAAATTATATGTTAAACTAGAAGTCTTTCTGAGTAAAATGAGTTTTTGTTCAAAAAAATCCGATTGTGGGAACACCGCTAAAAAAATTTTTGAAAATGGCCTGTTTTGCACTGTTTTGTGTGGGGAAGAAAAATCGTCTCCCCATCGTTTTTTTTGTTTACGCTATTTACACCNCGTCAATTGTTGTTGATCTTTTTCAACCTTTACCAAATTGTGTGTGTGTGTGTGTGATTTCCAAAGTTCTAAATGCCTTTCCACCTGCTGCCTTAAATAGCACGCACACCAGTTCCGGTGTGATATTAGCTCAATGTGGTGGAGAAGATTTGATTTTATAATTTATATTAAAGTGTAAGCTAAAGTTTAAGCAGCAAATCAGCAAGCAAGCAGCAGCTAGAGCATGGTGATCCAAGGCGGCAGCAGTCACCTTCTCCTGCGCCACCTGAGGCTGGTGATGATCAGGACGGCCGCCGGCCAGCAAAGAAGCCTCCTCTCCTCTTCAGCAGGTCGGCGTGTCCTTCAGCAGGCCCAGGCGGTGCCCAAGCAGAACAGGGCGGGAGTTCTGTCACGCTTTATTTCCAATGGACATGGAACTTCCCAGCTCCTCAAGGTCTCCGGAAAGTCCACCGCCCTTTCACCGGGGCGCATTCTTCTCAATTGCAAGCAGCACTTTCACACGACGCCTCGCCGCTTCAATCCGATCATTGCCATCATCGCGAGACAGGCGGCCAAGGTGGCCTCCGTTCTGCTGGGCAGGTAGGGCGGCAAAAACCCGTTACCTTGGTTTTCAATATCTAAATTCCCCACTCTGTAGAGCACTTCGAAACTGGTGGGCCAAGCTGCCGGCCAACAAGCGGGAGGTCTTCCTGGAGTTCATTCGGCGGCACCGGCTGAAGCTGCTGGCCGGCGTCGGCCTGGTGCTCGCCTCCTTCGCCTACTACTACTTCTCGCACATCCAGGAGACGCCGATCACCAAGCGGCGCCGCTTCATCGCCTTCACCCCTGAGCAATTTGAGGTGCTGAACAAGCTGGAGTTCGACCAGCAGATTGAGACGTACAAGAGCAAGCTGCTGCCGACGGAGCACGCGGACACGCAGCGGGTGGGCCGCGTCGTCCGCCAGCTGCTGGCCGGCAATGAGGACATCGAACAGATCAAGCGGCACGACTGGTCGGTGTCGGTGATCAACGACGAGTCGGTGATGAACGCCTTCGTCATGCCCAGCGGCAACATCTTCGTCTTCAGCGGGCTGCTGAAGATGGTCGACAATGACGACCAGCTGGGCATGATTCTGGCGCATGAGATATCGCACGCTATTCTAGGTCATGGGCTGGAGAATGTAAGTGTGATGTTTGGGTAACATTTCTATTTTGTTTACCTTGCTAATCTTTCTACCTCTTTTGCTTCACCAGATCAGCCACCAGCACATCGTGGACATTGTCTTCATCAGCCTGCTCGGCTTCCTCTGGATGTTCCTTCCCTCGGACCTGATCGCCGCCATCGGCACCGCCTTCTCCCGCTTCATCCTCGGCATCAGCTTCATGACGCCCTACTCGAAGATGCTCGAGACGGAGGCGGACGAGGTCGGCCTGATGCTCGCAGCGAAGGCCTGCTTTGACGTGCGCGAGGCGAGCGCCTTCTGGCACAAGATGGCCATCATCAGCGGCGCCGATCCGGTGCACCAGCTGCAGTCGAGTGTGGAGTTCCTAGCGACGCATCCCTCTCACGAGAAGCGCTCCGAGCACCTCGACGGGCTGCTGGCGGAGGCGCTCAAATGTCGCGATGGCTGCCACTGCTCGGCGCTGCCCAAGGAGGACCCGAGGGAGAGGGTGCAGCGGATGCGCGACCAGATCATTCGCCTCAACAAGGACAAGAACATCGAGGGCGTCCTCAAGATTTGAGTGCCTGCCAACAACTGACGCTTGCCTGTCCGCTCCCACCGCCTCCCTCCCTCCCTGCCTGCTCAGGAAACGGCGTGCAATAAATAGGTGCGCATTGCATCATCCGTCAAATGCTTCAAATGCTCGGAGCGCGGCTCTTTCCGCTCTAAAGGCGACGTGTCATTGCTGCTGCAGCTGCTGCTGACGCGTTTGTTATTGTCTCTCTTCTCTCACGCACAGTTGCTAACGGTACACTGCAATGTGTCATTGACACACAAGCTCTCTCCCTTGTCGACCAGCTGCAAACCACCACCGGTGATCACCCTCTGTCAGCAGTTGAGATAATCGAGGTCATCACGTGATAATAAAAAAAAAGTTGGTCATATTCTTCGGGAACGCTCGGGCAAGAGGTAGAAAGTGCTAGCAGTGGAGGGAGAAATGCAGTGAAATCAAAGGCGACGGCTTACGTCAGTTGTGAGGCGGCGCAAGAGAGCGCTTAGGCCACATCAGCGTAAGCCGCCGGCCTGCACAACGGCAGAGAGCGCCAATCAGCAAAGTACACGAGGACAGTCCGCTGTGCCAAGGAAGGGAAGCGCTATTTAAGCCTACTTCCAGCCACTTCGCCAGACATTTACCTTCCACACTCGAACCAGTGAACACACACGACATCACTTCTCTTCAACACCATTTACTCCTCTCTCTCTCTCTC